ATATATATATATATATATATATATATATATATATATATATTAGTGATGGTGTAATTTTAACTGTTTATAATCAAGAATTTCAGATGCCAGATGTTTTGGATAGACCAGTAAATTATCTTTTATATGCAGGTGGCATATAAAAGGTAAAATGCAAGTACAATGTGATCCATCCATATGTGATTCAAACGTATTTGCCCTAATTTGGGGGTGGAGAGGGGGAGCAAAACAATCCTCAGACTCTGAAGAAAAAAAGACTCTTAGGGCTCATTCCCACTTACATTTGAACTAGTTTGTGATTCACTTTCACTCCAGGTGAGTGAATCGATTCAAGTCAATGTGTCATTCCCACTATTCACTTCTTTTTTGGCACAATTGTTGTTCCCACTAGTTTGTGCCATTTCAAAATACCTGTCAATCATCTGTGCGTCATCAGTGACATAAACAGCAACACATTCAAGAAAAAACAAGAGGGAGTCATGGGTGCTGTGGTCAGAATTCTCCCCTGGGATGCACGCACCCATGGCTGTCATGGAGGACTCTCCCTTGGGATGCATGCAATTAAAAAAGATAGGCAGTATATGAGCTCCATTGTCGGTCCTCTCTCACTGCCCGCAAGTAATTGCATAATTGCAAATACAATGGAGTGCATATACTGATATATATATATATATATATATATATAGAGAGAGAGAGAGAGAGAGAGAGCGCCCATTGGTTACACCACAAAGCACAAAGGCAGCGCTGGGAGGGGGGGGAATGGTGGATTTCCCCCCAAATTGGTGAGGGATGTGCCAACCCTCTGCTGCAGTTAAAATAAAAATCAGTTAATCTAAAGGGAGTTGCTACATTCCTTTCCCTCTCCCCTTCCTCTTTTTGAAAACCATCAGTAAATGATTTATGAATGGTGTGAATCATTGGCAAAAGCAAGGGAAATATTTGGAAAAGATAGTCTGTAGGGGAAGGCGGTGTGAGATCTAAAACACAATGAAACAATAGGAATATTCTTTGGAACAATGTATAAGTGGATGTTTTAAAGCAGGGGTAGGCAACCTAAGGCCCGGGTGCCGGATGCGGCCCCCCGAGGCCTTTGGACCAGCCCCAAGCCGGTCCTGCCGCTGCCGCCGTCACCGCCCGCCCGCTATGATGATATTGATTATAGTTGTTATTATTTGTTCTTGGGGTTTTCTT